CTAATAAAACTTTATTTATAAAAACATGTGGTGAGCTGGATTTGGTCTGCAGGCCAGTTTGATGACTCCTCCTCTTTGTTAGCACCTTGTGTCATCTCAGGCACTTCTACATTTATAAAAAATTTGCTACCTGATTCAGTTCTTCATCACTAGCCTAGGGTAACAAAGCACATTACCTGGCATCTGATAAGCATTTTATAAATGTGGTTGTAATTATTATTTTAAAAAATTATCATATAAACACTCAATAAATCTGTGGATGACCATCTAGCACTTTTGGCTCTAAGCTTCTTCAGCTATTTAACTCTCACATTCTTACATTGCAGAGCATTCTACCTCTGAAATCAAATATACACTGATCAAAATCTCCTGCTTGTCACTCTCCTTTTATGCTTGCTCTTCAACCTCCATGAGCCTCCAATCCAATTTTATATCTATTGTTTCCTAATCCATGAGCTCCCACCCATCTTTACTTCCTATCAAGCTTGATATCATGGTCTTAATTGAGCCATCCTCTCATCTACACTCTCAACTCGTTTTCCAACTGTACCAGACCAGCAAATCCTGTATCATCCCATCTGTCTGCCTTCTCCATTCCTACATCTGGATGGCCCAGGACTGCTGAAAATGTCTCACAGATCAATGCCATTACAAACTTACGTTCTCCGGCCTCAACTGGGGCTTCAGCATCACCCAGCAATACTTTCCCCAATCCTCTCACAAATTATTCAAACTTCCAATGCTTAAAACTCTCCCCAAGGTCCCTTAGGCTTAGACTCTCACACTTTCTCTTAACTTCAAATGACCAATTTGCCTCAGACTCTTCAGAGAAATTAAGAGGTATGAATATATGTTCTCAACTTTTTGCTGCACCCAAACACTTAACTTATCCACTATCCTTAACTTCCTTCCCTCTAGTCCCAGAAAAAGAGTTGCTTCTACTCCAACCTACCAGCAGTGCTCTGGATCCATCCCTGTCCCTTCTACCTCACTAATACTACAAAAACCAAATCCTCAACAATCCAACTGTATCATATGTCTTTCTTCACTGCTCTTTAATCATGGATACTTTGCTTGTCTTGAGCTTCCCCATATTCAAATAGTGAAATCCTTGCAAGGCTGTTTTGAGTGTAACAGATCTAGAAGTGCCTGACATGTGGCAATTATTTCATAAATGGTAGCAATTATTATTATGTTAATAGCCTGAAGGTGAAAGGCACAAGAGATGGAATACAGGATTGGAGACCCTCAGGAGGGAAAAGGGAAGCATACCTAGAAAGAAAAAAAGAGGAAATCATTTCCCTTGACCGAAAATGTTCCAATCCTTCTGTGAATATATCCAGTTGCTTTGTGAGTTATAGTAATTAAATGTATGACTACTCTTTGCTATTCTCACCATAGTCTAGAGCCTACAACTCCTCTTACAGTATAAGACTCTCCAAGAAGATTTGCTCTGGTTCTAAGTCTTTGCCAACAGAGAAAACTAATAAAATCTTCTATTAAGATAGAATCAAAGCGATATACATTAAAAAGGAATTATAGCAATGTTTAATCATTGACAAGTGTCAAACCAAAGTATTCAATTTGATTCCATAACTGAGACAGATGAACTTTAAGGTGAGAGCCTGGAACATCTTGTGCCAGAAATAAGAGAAGTGCAAAAATGGGGGGCAAAAACTGATAGTGGAGGAAATGTCAAAAAGACACAGGAACTGGCTTGAAGGGGCCCCCAAAGGACAAACCCGGGCAATTTGAGCATCAAAAAAGAATAATGATGGTGATAATGGATCCTAACACAATTAATTAAGAAAAAAAATAGTCCTTAGGTCTAGAACAGAAAAAAGGAGAAATCTTTTATAGAATAACACCAGTTAAAAAATGTGGAAGGAATGAAATAACTAGAAAATCACTCTTCGCAATCTCCAAAAGTAGAAATCATCTCCATGATATAAAAAACACTGGGTGAAGAGTTAACAGGACATCTGTATAGGCCTGAAGTACTACTTCACAGGTTACTTAAATTTTAATTACAAAAATTACGAAGGCAGGTGCACCTGGGTGTTCAATCAGTTAAGCATCTGCCTTTAGATCGGGTCATGATCTCAGAGTCCTAAGATCGAGCCCTGCATTGGGCTCCTTGCTCAGTGGGGAGTCTGTTTCTCCCTCTCTCTTTGCCTCTACCCCCCACTTATGCATGTGCTCTTGCTCTCTCTCTCTCTCTCAAATAAATAAAAATCTTAAAAAAAAATTACAAAGGGAAAAATTTACTTTTACAATAGAGATACCTGGCAGTTGCCCTCCTAATCAAGTGATGGAACCTAGCATCAATAGTGAGAATAACCTGATATTATATGATTGCAGTGATGCAATGAGCATACATTACCTGTGCAATATACCCCAAAGCTTTTATGCTGAATTAATGGAGGAGAAAACAATCAGACAATTAGTCCACAGTCTTACTGCTCAAAATGTGGTCTAAAGACCAGAATCACTCATCCGGGAGCTTATTCAAAATATAGACTCTCAGGCCCCACTTCAGACATAATTTATATTTTAACCAGATCTTCAAGTGATTCATAGGTACAAAGTTTGAGAAGCCCTGCACAAGACAAAATATCTAAACTTTTCCAAAAAATCAATGTCATAAAAACTTAAAAAGGCAGTGTGGGAGGCATTGTTCTCAATTTAGAGACACATAACCACCAAAAGCAATGAGTAAGTCTTGGTTGAATCCTGGATCAGAGTGGGAAAAGTTATATTTTATACAAAATATAAAATATTTTTATAATTCCTATATTTATAAAATATAACTTTTCAGGGGGACTACTGGGAAAATTTGAAAATGTACCTTTTATTAAATGACACTGAATTAATGCTAAGGTTCTGAAACCTGATAATAATATTTAATTACAGAATTTTCTTATTCTTAGAAGATACAGGTTGAGGGGCAGCCCTGGTGGCTCAGAGGTTTAGCACCGCCTTCAGCCCAGGGCCTGATCCTGGAGACCTGGGATCGAGTCCCACATCGGGCTCCCTGCATGGAGCCTGCTTCTCTTTCTGTGTCTCTGCCTCTCTTTCTCTGTAAGTCTCTCATGAATAAATAAATAAAATCTTAAAAAAAAAAAAAAAGAGAAGATACAGGTTGAAACATTTAAGGTCGTATGTCTACAACCTACTTTTAAATGGTTTATAAAAGCATATATGGAGATAAAGCATAAATGGCATAGTAATAACTGGTTACTTCAAAATGAAGAGTTTGTAGATGTCCATTGTCTATAGTCTTTCATCTTTTCTTTTTGTTAAGTAAAAAGTTGAAAGGTGGGAAGACTATTCAATTAGTCCACAATAGAAATGGTGTCTTTGGTAACAGACAGCATGATGTGCACACAACCTTGCGTCTATCTTTTTTTTTTTTTTTAAAGATTTTGTTTATTTATTCATGAGAGACAGAGGAAGAGGAAGAGACATAGCCAGAGGGAGAAGCAGGCTCCTCACAGGGAGCCCCATGTGGGACTCAATCCCAGGACCTGGATCATGCCCTGAGCTGAAGGCAGATGCTCAACCGCTGAGCCACACAGGCTTCGTCCCAACCTTGCAACTATCTTAACATCTACTTCAGAAAATACATGTAAGTGTTCAACAGATGTTTTATGAGAGAAAAGAAATTCATCTGTTCAAATCATATTTCAGCTGGTTGAAATTTCTAAAGCATTAAGAGCTGCTACAACCAGCTAGCTGTCAGGTATATAAGGAACTATGGATTGTCACTGTAACTTTTCACACAACGAGAAGCAATAGAGTATGACAGCAAAGGTTTTGGGGTCAGTCAGACCTAGATTTTATTAGTGAGGTGTTCTTGGGCAGACTTAACCTCCCAAGTCTCAATCACTCTATCTGTAAAAGAGAAATAAAATAGTACCTTACAGTTATAAGGATTAAATAAGATATAAGATAATGAATGTAAAGTACTTAGTATCACTTCATGCATCTTAACTCTAATTTCATCAATACAATCAGCTAAAAGCTACTCCATAAAATGAAGCTAATGTTTTTATGGACCATATTTTGACTTTATTTTGAAGATTAAAGGTCTTCATATGATCTAGGGGCATTCTGTGACAATTTTAAGTCAAGGTAAGAAGGCAGAACGATTTTCACTCCTTGTTTTTATTTGGTACCCTGAAGAAAAAGCTCTTACTAAGATGATAAGCAACCTTTCTCCAAGGTAAAAGCATTTTAGTTCTTCACTTAATCTTAGTAAACCAATATAAAGTACTGAAGATTAGCCAAAATGAAGCTACTAAAAATGACTTACAGAATCAAATTCAATATTAAGAAAATCTGGAAATAATTCTATCAAGCTACCTTAAACTCTGGATTAGGAAAGTTATGAGAAACCATGTTTTCATGGGAGTTACTGAACAATGTTCTAAAGTACTTAGAAAATGAGCACCTATCTCTTTGACTTCAGTAGATCTGTGCCTAGATAAAACAGAACTGACTCCATTAGATGGATGATAGTCTACCCCAATTATTCTATTAAATTCTAGGGCAGCCCTGGTGGCTCAGCAGTTTAGTGCTGCCTTCAGCCCAGGGCGTGATCCTGGAGACCCGGGATCGAGTCCCACGTCAGGCTCCCTGCATGGAGCCTGCTTCTCCCTCTGCCTGTGTCTCTGCCTCTCTCTCTCTCTGTGTGTGTCTCTAATAAATAAATAAAATCCTAAAAAAAAAAATAAATAAATTCTAAAGCAGTCTCTCCTGAAGGTTGGCAATTATAGCCAGCAGGCCAAATCCAACCCACAGTTTATTTTCATAAATATAGCTTTAATAGAACACAGCCATGCTCATTCACTTATGTAATGTATTTTGAGTCGAAAAGTTGCAAGAGACCATATGACCCATGAAGCCTCAAACATTTACTATTTGGTCTTTTACAGAAAAAAATTGCCAATCCTACTCTGGACAAGCAATCCAAAAAAGAAAACCTATTCAGGACTCACCTGAGGTGTTGTCTTTTTGTATAGATCACCTCCATCTATCACATCCTTCATGATTTTTCCCTTGAGAGATTCATACTCTTCTGAACTCAGGTGAATAGATTCTATGGTTTTTCCACAGCCCAAACACTGACCACTGTAATTACAGTAATTTGGGTTAAATGGTATCCCGGAAAAGAACTTTTTCTAAAATGAATAATCCTTAAACAAGAGGAAATTGAAAAGTAATGAAAAAAGAACATTACAATCTTTGTGATCAACACATGCATCCAATTTCTTATAAACCTGATAACACACGTTAGGTGCGCCAGAAAACCCAAAAAAGTACACTGCTGGGCATCCAGATAGTTTTTAAAGTCATTCCCAAAACACAACGAGGTCCCAAATCTGTACAGGAAAAGACCTCTGAGGCTTCACACAAGGTTCCCACCACCTTATGAGAAAAACATTTTGAGCACTACAAGTTCTCTACATGCAAAACATGGCTTTTCTCTGGGGTATGCTCTTAATTATCCTATCTCTAATGTATTCTCAAAAATTTTTTGATCAGTAGCAACAAAACTTACTACCTGCATCAAGCAAGCTAAAAATTAAATATTGGGCTTTACCTTTCCTTGACTGTTGTGAACTGTCCTTTCCAATGTTCTCCAGGAACACTACAAAAAAAAGATTGCAAAACCAGATCATTTGAAGGTCAGATTCCTCCAGAACCAAAAGATAGGCATTTTATTTAGAAACCCAGTAGGCAAGAGCTCTGAAAAGTTTAGGATATTTCCCTAGAATGGTTTAATTAGAAGAGTGGGTGATACACTGTGACAGAGCTAAAGCGGTGACAGTACCCTACTCTGGACCCCCTTCTTCCCTTCACTTTTCTGGTCATCCAACCCTCATCTTCAAGTCTAAATCTACCTTCAGGGGACTCGGAAGCTGACAATAATAGTGTAACCTCTAAATCAAACTCAGTTCTCACCTTCTCCATAAAGCTACTGGAGATTCTTCCTGCACAAAGTAATCTCTCCCCCTATACCATCTTCTTAGACACTACTATTAACTGTCAAGTACTATGTTCCCAATTAGGTTGTGAATTCCATCATAACAGATTTTATATCACCAAACACCCACAGTGCCTTGAAGGAATTCAAAATTACTTGATTTATCAACTTATCCTTTCCTTCCTCTTATATACACTATCAGTTCCTATTGATTCCTATTGATTCGCTTGCCTTCTCTCCTTCCTTGGTTCTTAATTCAAGACCTCGTCATTTCTCATTCAAACCTACAATTGCCTCCAAATAGATCTCCCTATTTCCAATCTTAATCCCTCTCCAACCCTTTGTTTTGTTTAGGCAGTTACTTTTCTAAAACTCTACTCCAAGGTAACAATAAAATCTAAAATCCTAGGCATTCAAAATGTTCACAATTTAGCTCCTTCAGTGATAGTCAATAACTTTGTTAAATAAAATAATAAGTAGCATGGTTGCTACTTCAAAGATCTGTAAAGAAGATATGTAGTAGAAAAGAGAAAAACAGAAAAGGAATAAATTAGTAGTGAGGAAATAAGTAAATAAAGACTGAAGCAATAACTAGGCAGAGAGCCAGTAACATGAATAAAAGCAAAGGGAAAGCAGAGAGCCTTGGAGAGAGCAAATGGATGATGGAAGGGTCCAAAATGAACTGGAACAATGAGACTTTCCATTTTTAACACTTGCATATCAATCATGTCTGATTAAGGTCCCCCTATCTGCTCTAACCATTCAAGTTAATGAAATGCATAGATTAAACAGATACCAGTCACTAGGTTTAGGAAAAACTTCTTAAATACTAATATGATCCCAAAACAGCTCCAGTTTTCTTGCTATGAACTCCAGTCACAAGTGCTATCTGTAATTACATCATACTGAACACCTCAGAAAAAAACTGATGATCCTTCTACAAAGAAAAAAAAACCCATGAAAACATACAAGTGGCCAACAATTTCTTGTTGGAGAAGAGAACGTGATGGAGAAGAGAACTTGTTTCTGCCATCACTTTTTTTTAAAGAGTAAGAAAATTTTGTCTCTAAAGGGAAACAAATCTGAGAGAAGGAAAAGTATAATTTGAATAGCGTAATTTTCAGCAACAACAAAAAAAGGAGGTGGCTGCTTTCAGGTAGAGATATCAAAATGAAAACATACACATAAAGAAAGATCAAAATTACCTCTCAAACCATGTCTTTATACTGTGTGCAAATGACTCCTCAGGATATAGATGATTATTTCTTAGATACAAAAGAATGTCAAATAGCTTGTTTGAATACTGATCATCTTTTATGTTTTTTCCAAAATCAAAGAATGCTTTTAAAGTTTTCAACATAGGAATAAGATCATAACCTAACAATTCCTGGTACAAATTCCAAGCTAGGTTTACGTCTTGATGAAGGAGGGCTCCCTCAATACAATCATTGTAGTTCTTTTTTGAAGGGATCATGACTTTTTTGACATCTTCTAACAATAGCAAGGCCTCTCTCCATCTGTCTGAGTGGATTAATCCCTGGATGAGAAGAGTATACCCTCCAGATTCTAATCTCTTGTATCTGGCTTTCATGATCTCATAGACATCAATAATTTCTGATGTCTGCTTATGAAAGACACAGAGATACAAATACTTGACCAGCAAATCATAGCCTACAATACCATTGTTTTTTGCAGCTACCCAGGCTAACAGAGATTTGGCGACATCCACAGAGCTACAGGACTGAGCCATTTGAGAAATGATCCAACTTTCAAAATTAGCCCTTCCTTTGAAATCTTCCTTGAGTCTATCCCACTCTTCAGAATTCAAAGGTTTTGCTGGGAGTTGAATAGTGTTCCTCACAGGTGGCAAGGCATCATCTTTCCTATGAGGATTCATCTGTGATCTCTTCTTAGCCGCTCCAGCTGCAAAAAGATGGGTATCAGAAGAAACTTGCTTACTACTGCCTTCATTTCTAAGATATCTGGCCTTGGCGATCAGCAGATTCACTGCTTTAGTATTCTGTGCAGACACTGTTTTAAGAGAAAACCACTTCTGTTGGTTCCGGATGCCATAACAGTCTTTGAGAAAGAGAGAGAGAAAAGAGTGTCCTGGGCCTAGGCCAAGGTATGGGTTGCTCTTCCAAAGCTTAGGAAAGCTTCGAATACCAGTGAAACAGAAAGTCATCATGCAGTGAGACCAGCACCAGATAGATGTCAAAAAGCCCCTACTTCTATAGAATAATTAAGGAATTGGGAGTGAAGGTGTGGAGAATCGAAGCACAACAACTTCTTAAAAGATGATCTTCAGTTTCTCAGACACAAATCAAGGATCTGCTTTTGGGGCTACTTAATACAACGGAGTCTGGTGAGTTCTCCATGAAATAACCAGCCGGGGAAATAAATCCGACCTCGGTCGCAAATCCCAGAACCAGGAGACAGGGCAGGAATCCTTCGGTGCCTGATATATCCTAATCTGTGAACCTGAGGAAAAAACACAAGGAGGTCCGTCCAGTTTGATTCTCATGGATCACGACTGCCCCTGAAAAGAGGCAGGATCCCATGGGATCTTGCTGAAGGAGGGGCGCCAAGTCGAAAACCCCTACCCGGCGCCCCCAACCGCACACCTAGGAGCAGCTAGGGCAGCAGCAAAAGCCAAAAATCTAGGGGCCCTGGGCCGGCATAACAACCCCAGCAAGCCGCCAAACGCGTCAGGTGAGGATATGAGGGCGGGGGAGATGGGGAGAGAGCCGAGCCAATAATTCAAGTAAGGAAGGAAGGTCCACGAAGGGCACTGCCGGCCGTGTAGGGACAGATCACAAACGAAGTTCACTCCATTCAACAACTCACCTCAGCGCTCACGTTTAAAGCAACCATAAGCCCCGCGGGACTACCGCGTCCACAATGCACAGCGAGGGCTCCGGCGACCGGGGAGTGGCTGAACCACACGCAGGCGCTCCGCCGGGCCGGATGGCGATTTAAAAAAAAAAAAAAAAAGAAGAAGAAGAAGAAAAGAAAAAAGAAAAGACAATTTTGAAGGTTTTGGCAGAAAGGGCTGTTGAAGACGTCTACTACGTACAAGGAAACTTTAGGACTTCTAGGGATCCGCAATGAGCAAGGAAAATAAATTGTCACTGAGGAGGGCACTTGACGGGATGAGCACTGGGTGATATGCTATATGTTGGCAAATTGAACTCCAATAAAATAAATAAATAAATAAATAAACTGCAAAAAAAAAAAGAAAGAAAGAAAGAAAGAGAAAATAAATTGTGAAGAAGTCTCTCCCATCCGGCCGGAAACACCAAAGGACTTCTGAGTCACGTGGTACACACGCGCCAAAGTCCCAAGTTAGAGAAATAAAACGCGGGTTTCCTTATCTTGCACCTTTAAAATTGGATTTGGTGAAGTTTGGCCCTGCCTCATAGAAGATCATTTTTTGCCATCTGTTTCAAGTCGGCTTTCCCGGCGGGTAACGTGGTGGCCGTATTCTCGGCAGTGGCTGTCACAAGTCTTGCCTCGTTAGCCGACTTCCGCCCATGTCCAAGATGGCGGTTGAGCGTTCCTGACCTTTACGGGGCTGGGCAGTGATTGCTGTCTGAGCTAGTAGGGGGTGGAGCGGTTAGTAAACAGCAAATGCAGGAGCTGCTGCGCGGGAGTCAGCCATGGACTGGAAAGAGATTCTTCGCCGGCGGTTAGCGATGCCCAACACCCGTACAAACGGTGAGTTTGAGAGGGGCTGCTCTGGGAGATAGGCCGGCCGTAAACTCCTGAGGGAGATCCGGGAGGAGAAGCTACTGGGAGCCGCACTTTCCGCTTCTGTGAAAGCTCCCTTGACAAAGGCAGATGGGACGTGGCTAAGGGGCACTGAGAGGTTTGACCCAGCCTTACCGGGAGGAGGATTCCGGAATGAAGAAGAGCTATCGTACCACTCACTCACGTGGCTTTGACTTCGGCTTTTGAGGAATAATTGAGAACCCTGCTTCCAACAACTCTTCGCTCCCACTACAACCTATAATCCATTGGTCTTACGCCTTTTTACTCTCACACTTTTCACTTCCCTTATCCATTTTAGATTCCATAATTTATTTTTCCTTATTCTTTTCCTTCTCCTTCACACCGGCTTGTTAACCAGCCGGGTTAAAACTATCTTTCTCATTCCACACGTGCGCTTGGGACAGCCAAAAGTGGCTGGAGAAAAACGGAACCATGGAAAATTGCCTCACTTTGAATTCATGTCCACTAACCACGTAAGTGTTTCAGTTCTTTATTGACACATATTCCACATTTCCCTATTCATTCTCCTCTACTCTGAGGCAGTTCTCATCTTCCAGACCTCCAGTTCTTCGGTATGTCCTACCTACTCCTTGTTTTCAGTTGATGAACTTGTGTATGTATTTGAGAAAGTCGAAGCAAAGAAAACCCTCACCTGTTCCAGGTAACCATTTCTGTCAGCCCTTTCACCACCATAGATGCCTGTAAACTCTGCCTTTTCTGTTCAAAATGAACTGTCCACACTCCTGTTTGAGACAATTCCTCCACTCTAACACTAGATACTGTTCCCTTTTTTTTTTTTTTGTTCCCTTTCTTTTATCCAGTGACTTCACTGTCTTATCTTTTATTATCATCAAATCTTCCTCCTGTACTGGATCATTTCCATCAGCTCTGACAAACTATAATAATTCCATGTAAAAAAAAATCATTTCATTTCACATCTCCAGTTTATGCTGCATTTTTCTGCACTCCTTATAGGAAAACTTATCCAAAAAGTCATGTGTATTTGTACTCTCTCCTCTTCTTCACTCTTAAATCCTCTCCATGTTTGTGCCTGTTATATGCCAAGCACTTTTTTTAGGCTATAGCAGTAAAAAAAACAGACAAAAGTCCTTGTGGAACTTAAGCTTTAGTGCTGGGAGAGAGAAAATAGTAAGTAAATCATTTAGGTTGTACAATGTGTATTTAAGGCTTTTCCTTCATCGGTATGCTAGATCCCCTTTTTGCCTACTTGAAGATATACTCCTACAGTTGTCCCCTCTCTCCTGCATCAATTTTTCTTCCCCAGTCAGCCCTGTTAGTGTATGAATATGGTGGTATTTCTCTCACCTTAAAGAAACTTTCTTGTCTTTATTTCGGCCTCTAGCTCTGCCTCATTTCCCTGCTCCCCGCCTTACACCAATGCTTTGTTAAAAGGATTGTTGCTTAAATCTGTGCTGTTTTTGTCAGGATCATCAGTGATCTCCATTGTTGTTCCAGTGGTGGGTGTTTAGTCCTCACTTTACTTGACCAGCCAGCAGTCCCTGCCAGGGATTGAGTAGTTCACTCTCCTCCTAAACATCCTTTCCTCTCTTAGTTTCTGAGAGACTTAACTCCTTTAGTTTTCTTCCTACCCCACCAGCCAGCCATCTCTTCTCAGTCTTTGTGTTTTCTTCTCCCCAACAGCTTAGCATTGAAGTGCCCAAGAGCTATCTACACTCACCTTCATGGTGAAATTAGCCATTCTTACAGCTTTAAATACCGTATATTTATTTTTGTCTCCTAAATTTTTGTCTGTTTTCCCAATGCCAGATTCATATATCGTAATTGCCTACTTGACATGGCCACTTGGTTCTAATAGGTATCTTAATCTTAACTTGTCCAAAACTGAACTCCTGCTCTCCTTTCTAACTTGCTCACACATAGCTTTCCCCATATGCTCAGGTCAAAACCTTTGGAGATCTCAACTGCTCTTTTTCTCTGATACCCACATCCTGTGTGTCTGCAAATCCTGAGACTTAAAAGAAAATATAACCAGAGTATTTACTCCCAAACCACTTCATTGCAGTCACCCTGGTCCAGGCCACCACCATCTGTCACCTGGATCACTGCCTTAGCCTTCAAATTGCTTCTGGTTGCTCTCTCCCTCACCAGAATAAAAGCCACTGTCTTTCTAATGACCTAGTGGCGTTTACTCCTGTTATCTGCCTTCCCTCATCTACTCTTTCTTCTGCCTCATTCTGCTGTAGCCACACTGGCTGCCTTCTTCTTCCTTGGATACACCAGGCACACTCCTATCTTAGGATCCTGGCACTGGCTATTTCCTTGCCTGGTATGTACGCACTTCTCCATTTACCTGGATCACCTGCTTCCTTACCTTCTTCGGTTTTTTTGCCCCATTACATCTCAGTGAGGCTTTCCCTGACACCCTGTTGAAAGCTGTATGTAAGTATGGACACATGTGCACACATCCACTCATACATATACATGTGTGTCCCTAGAATATGTTGGATGGAAAAGAGTGAAATCATATGAAAACTGCTCTTGGGATTTGGGCTTGGGTGACCGGATAAATACAATTAACTGGGATAGAAATACGAAATTAGAAGAAGAGTAGTAAGGTGAGCAATGTATGTTAGATGTGTTGGAGTGTGAGGATGAAAATATTTTGTTTTGAATGTATGAGTTTAGAGTTCAAGAGCAATGTCTGGGGGCACCTGGGTGGCTCAGTGGTTGAGCATCTGCCTTTGGCTCAGGTCATGATCCTGGGGTCCTGAGATTAAGTCCCACAGCAGGCTCCCCGCAGGGAGCCTGCTTCTCCCTCTGCCTGCCTCTCTCCGTGTCTCTTGTGAATAAAATCTTTAAAAATAATTTAAAAAAAAAAAAAAGCAATGTTTGGGGTGGTGACATATATTTGGGACTTAGAAGTCAAACTACAAAAGTTGAAATGAGGAAGAAAGATTAACAAAAAGGGAATGGCCAGAAAATGAGAGAATCAACAGTGCAGCCTAAGGTTAAAAATTAACATGGCACTGTGGCAGAAATGTGGGCATAATAGAGGTTTTAGGGCAACAGCTATAAGCATGTTGGAAGGAAGTGAGACCAGGAAGTGGAAAATAAACTATTAAGAAAATAGGTCACAGAATTGAAGATTGCAATGAGGCTGAAGTGTAGCTATTATGTCAAGTTTTGAATAGCCAGGGAAAAGAATTATCTGAGTATATTTGAGTTAAGATTTTATTTAAGTTCAAGACAGCCTGGGTGGCTCAGTGGTTTAGCGCCACCTTCAGCCCAGGGCCTGATCCTGGAGACCCAGGATCAAGTTCCACGTCAGGCTCCCTGCAGGGAGCCTGCTTCTTCCTCTGCCTGGGTCTCTGCCTCTCTCTTTCTGTGTGTCTCTCATGAATAAATAAAATCTTAAAAAAAAAGATTTTATTTAAGTTCAGTATATTTAGGAGCAGATAAGACCTGTGGTCTTGCCATGGAACCAAGTGACAGAGGTGACTCCTCTTCAGAGTTGAGGTATCAGTTATTCACAAATGTTTATCCTTTCTTGATGAGTGCAGGACCTTGAGGTGAAGAACACTGTGTGCCAGTGCACTGGACTGACTAAATGAGACAGCTGTAGGCCAGCAGCAGGCGGGCTGGAGGGTAAGAGCATCCTGAGGTGTAAGCTTCAGATGGAAGGTAGAGGAACAGTGATTGCAAGTCTGAAACTTCATGAGGTCAAGGCCTGTGTCTGTTTTCTCACCACGCTACCTCCAGTACCTAGGAGTGTTCTATACATAGTAGGTACTTAGTGGTATTTTGATGGAATAATTATGAATGTGCCAGAGGTCTGTAAGAGAGGTACTGACTTGAGGAAGAGACAAGTATAGAGATAAAAAGAAGTGGAGGGAGCAACTAAGATGTGGTTGAAGATGCAGGGGAGGTTTGTGATTCTTGGTGTTTCAAGATAGATGTTCAGTGTATAAAGACAATTTTGAACATCTTTTTTGCACCTTAATTACATGATAGTAAAAAAATACTGATTTTAAGGGACGCCTGGGTGGCTCACTTAGTTGGGTGCCAACTCCTGATTTCAGTTCAGGTCATGATCTCAGGGTCTTGAGATGGAGCCCACATCGGGCTCCGCACGCACTGGGTGTGGAGACTGCTTAAGGTTCTCTCTTTGCTTTTCCTCTTCCCTGCTCTCTATAAAAAGCTAAATAAAAATAATGATTTTAAAAGTGCTTTTCCCCCTTTAACTTGTTTTGTTACCAGGAAAAAAAAGTGAACAAGAATTAAAAGATGAAGAAATGGATTTGTTTACCAAATACTACTCAGAATGGAAAGGAGATAGAAAAAACACAAATGAATTCTATAAGACCATTCCCCGGTTTTATTATAGGGTAAGTGGTATCTAAGCAAATGTCTCACAGAGTTTTTAACTGAAATGTAACTTTTAAAATGGGATCAGAATCTTTTTATATAAATAAATAGAGGATTATAATTTAAACTTTATATATTTCATTGTAGTTGATCTTATTGTTTTGGAATTGGTAAAATCTCAAGTTGTGATATAAATCAGTGTAAGAACACAAAGTTGTTACTTGGCCTCCTTTGAGTTAGAGGCCTTTCCTTCCTGATTTTTCTTAAGATATTAGTAGTAGGTATTCTGTTGGATTTTGTGTCAGGCTTTTCAAAAGACAGATTTACTTGGCTGATCACCATTTTAACTTTGTCTTTTACCCATGTTCTAAGATGTAATACATTTTGCTGAAGTTTAAACTGAAAAATAGATTAAAATGGAAAACTTGAAGAGTTACACTTAATTGTATTTCCTTTATTAAACCATAAAGAAGTCTTTGAAAAAAAGAGAACAGGAAGACCTTAAGAAAGTTACTTACATAAAGCTGAAATTGAAGACTACTGAAAAGAATAAGACCTATTTAGGGGATCCCTGGGTGGCACAGCGGTTTAGCGCCTGCCTTTGGCCCAGGGCGCGATCCTGGAGACCCGGGATCGAATCCCACGTCGGGCTCCCAGTGCATGGAGCCTGCTTCTCCCTCTTCCTATGTCTCTGCCTCTCTCTCTCGCTCTCTGTGTGACTATCATAAATAAATTAAAAAAAAAATTAAAAAAAAAAAAGACCTATTTAGTATTATGTAAAATGTGACCAGAATGGAAAGTTAACTGTGGAATTTTAGAGGAGTGTCTCTTAAACTTGTTACCTTCTAAACTCAATTATAACATTATTTACAAAGAAAGTAACCAAAAGGAAAAAAAAAAGTAACCATTGTTTTACTTGCATTTAGGAGCAATGTATTAATATAAGTGAATTATCTAAATAGTTATAACTTACTTCTTCAAGTACCAACCTTTTCCAAATGAACCATTTTTATTGGAAACCTTTCTGTAATACCGTTTCCCAGTCTTTTAAGAATTACAGGACCAGGGGCACCCAGCTGCCCCCAGGTCGGTAGAACATGTGACTTGATCTTGGGGTTGTGAGTTCAAGCCCATGTTGGGTGTAGAGATTACTTAATAATAAAATCTTTAAAAGAAAAAAAGAATTATATGACTAATCCACATTGTCATGGAAAAGAGAAAAAACAGCTGATACTTTCCCATAACATTGCACAAAGATATAAATATTTCTAAATGAATCCTTCCCCATACTTCTGTGCATGTGTGTATTTAACAACAATGGAATCATATCATATGTACTTCTGCTTTATGCGTTTCATAGTTTCTTATAAAGTCAACTAAACAACTGAAATTTTAATAGTTTGGGGGAGCAGGAAGGGAATTGACATTTATTGAGTGCCAGTGTACTTCAGAGCACTTTATATTCATGATCTCATTTAATCAGGATTATGAAATAGTATCTTACTAACCCAGAAACAGCCCTTAGATGTTGACATGACCCTATTTCTGAGCCTAAGACTCAACTTTCCTGTACTTCCAGTACCAACCTTTTCCCCACTTCTGTCTCTTCCTTCTCTCTGTGACCTCTTCCAGATCCCACATGATTTCCTGGCTGTAGAGGTGGATTTATGGGATGTTTTTTCTGTTTCTTCTTCTGTCTTCCCACTGCTTTGGAGAAACCACCTACCATCTTTGGTTACCACGTCTCTCCTTGGCAGATTAGCTGGTTGACTAGGCACCAAAGCACCATCACAGTCTCAGCTCCAGCCTTACCTCCTAATGCTTCCTCTTTTCCATTCCTTTTGATGGAAGGGATGGCTTCTTAGGTCTTCGAAATGAAAGAACCAATTTGGACTGTGGCTACTTAGTCACATTTAATAAGACAGAGATATAGACTAAGAAGAAATAAATCCTTGAAGCAAATTGAAGTCAAGCTGGAATGAGTCATTTTAAAGCCCTGTTTACAGAAATCACTCCAGTGGGCAGACCCTCTGCCTAGGAGGTGAACATAATAGACCCTGGCTTGACTGTCTCCAAGAAGTAAGGTCATTCAAGCTCAAAGCCATATTTGCTAAGACCATCTATCTTCAGTTAGTCCTAACTTAATTCCATGTCAGTCTAAGGTTATAGTGAAAAGAGTACTCTAAGAATGTAAGATGAAACTTGGGCTCTTTCCAGGCAGGGATCTGGCCTTGCTGATCATTGAATTCTCTGTGGATTTCTTTTAGTTAAATGAACTTTTTAAATGAATGATAACCTGAAGTTAAGCAAAACTGATATACAAAAAGTAATTTGAGGCAGTGCAATATATAGTTATTTTATGAGGCCAAATATATTTTACATGATCCAATAATAGTATAGAATTTAAGTGTAGAAATTAACTCTAGTGTATTTTTAGCTGCCAGCCGAAGATGAAGTCTTACTACAAAAATTAAGAGAGGAATCCAGAGCTGTCTTTCTACAAAGGAAAAGCAGAGAACTGTTAGATAATGAAGAATTACAGGTAAGAATAGGATTAAAGATTGCTTTGGAGGTTAGCCATTTCTTTATTTGTACTAAAGTCATAGAGGATCTCAGAATGTCTTAATGGAGCCACTACTGGAGAGTGTGTGTGAATGCACCAGCCCTTGTGCAATGATTCCTACCAAAATCATCTACAGAGCTTGCCTGTGCACCATCTCCTAGAGATACTGTGTTTTGTTTTGTTTTGTTAAGTCCCTAGGTGCCAAAGTCGAGAACCACCACTCTAGGCTCAAACTTCAGGGGTTCATATCCTAGCCATGCTCTGTGATCTTGGGCAATGGACTTAACATTTCTATGCTTCCATTCTCTTCTGTTACGTGGATAACAGTATTTATCTGCATCAAATAGATATATGGATTAAAAAGGTACCATATGTGAAAACTTTAAACTTAGTCATTCAATAAACACCAGCTATTTGTATTATGTTATTAGTAATCAAAAGGATAATAGGGAATGAGATTCATCTTAGTCTGATAGCAGAGATTTAATATTATTATTTTAATGGAAATAACACATTTTATGAATGTTAAATTTTGTTTTGTTAACTGTAACATCTTCATTTTTGCAATTCTCCTAAGAACTTATGGTTTTTGCTGGATAAGCACCAGACACCACCTATGATTGGAGAGGAAGCAATGATTAATTATGAAAATTTCTTGAAGGTTGGTGAAAAAGCTGGACCAAAATGCAAGTAAGAATAGTATAATTAACAAAGGGGTATGTTATGTTAAGCATTCTAAATGCATGAAATAAATGTCAATGAAAATACAAGTCAACAGTGTTGACAATTTGAGTCCATTTGAGTTATAAGTGAAATTTAATACAATTATTTAGTCAAGAAAATTACATTAGTATGAAGTTATGAAAAGAAACAATAGCTTATAATATAGTATATTTTTATATTACACAGCTACATATACAGTACATTTATTTACAACAGTATATGCTTTTATTCTTTTTTGGATTTTTTTAACCTTTTGCTCTTTAGATGATAAAATTCGAAGATGTATGACTTAATGTATGACTTAATGTTTTAAGTTTTGAACTGTGGTTCTCACTTTGAATTTTTTCATTTTGATTTTTTTTTTTTAAGATTTTATTTATTTATTCATGAGAGACAGAGAGAGGAAGAGACGTAGGCAGAGGGAGAAGCAGGCTTCTCATAGGGAGCCCGATGTGGGACTCGATCCCCAGACTAGGATCACGCCCTGAGCCAAAGGTAGACGCTCAACTGCTGAGCCACCCGGGCGTCCCCCATTTTGATTTTTAATTGTTTGAATTCATGTTCTTGTTTGCTAATTCAGTATAGAAGTCATTTTTATATTATGTTGGCAGATTAATCTCTATTTCCTTTCCTTAGGCAGTTTTTCACAGCAAAAGTCTTTGCTAAACTTCTTCATACAGACTCTTATGGAAGAATTTCTATCATGCAGTTCTTCAATTATGTCATGAGAAAAGGTGATTTCATTTTTATTGTGTTTAAACTCTAATCTGGGAATCAAGGAGGTTTTGGTACATGCTTTTACAGTATTCCTTTTATGTGAAACAACTCTCTTAGTAAGTTTGAATAAATAGCAGAATTTCTTTTCTTTTTTTTTTTTTTTTGAGAGAGAGCACACATGACCCAGCATGGGGAGAGGTATTGGGACAGAGGGAGAATCCCAAGCAGGCTCCATGCCCAGAAGGATATCATAACCCTGAGATCATAACCTGAGTCAGAATGAGGAGTTGGATACTTAACTGACTGAGCCCTGAATAGTAGAATTTCTTATCTTTTGACCCAGATTTTTTTATTATTATTTTGATTGTCCTAGAACTTACTAGAGCTGAGATTTTCTACTATAAATTTGGGTTCATTATTCTAAACCATTATTACAAAACCAAAACATGTATCCTAAATATACTAGCTAAGAGCTATATATCAAAAACTGAAGAGTTTTAATGTAATTGGCTAGTAAGTCTATTTTACCAATATACAGTTGACCTTTGAAGGGGTTGGGACACTGACATCCTGTGCAGTAGAAAATCTGAGTATAAGTTTTGACTCCCCAAAAACTCTTAATAGCCTGTTGTTGACTGGAAGTCTTACGAATAACATAAACAGTTGATTAACACATGTTTTATATGTTATACATATTATATACTTTATTCTTACAATTAAGTAAGCAAGAGAAAAGAAAGTTATTAAAATTGTGAGGTGGAGCACTTGGCTGACTCAGTCAATGGAGCATGTAGCTCTTGATCTCGGGGCTTGGAGTTTGAGCCCCACATAGAATGTTGAAATTACTTAAAAAGAAAAAGGAAGGAAGGAAGAAACAAACAAACTCATAAGGAAGAAAAAATATATTTACAGTACCATAATGTACTTATGGGAGGGAGGAGGACGTGTATAAGTTGACCCACACAGTTCAAACCTGTATTGTTCAAGGGTCATCTGTATTACAGGTTGAGTTGCCTGAGAGGATAGTTCCAAACTCAGAATTGTAGCATCAGATTCAAGGAGCTTTTATTAAACAACCTGGAATTATGATTCCTATAAGTTCCATAATGATCTGTGAAGTCTTAATGTGTCTTTAATTTTTAGTCAGAGTAATTAACCTCAGTAGAGTAAGAATAAATGCACCTTTATTTATAGGCATAACATTACATTCATTGTCCCTTTCCGGTGGAACACCAAGTTTAGTGGGTAAAGAATATTTTCAGGGGCATCAATTTTATTGTCACTTTAGACAGTGTAGAATTATTGATATCTGCCATTAATCCTCTGGTCTATTTTGTTACAAATAACTTTGGGGTTACTGAATAAGTAACATGTGTGTGAAGAAGTATGTTTGTAGAGTTATTAGTTTGTCCCACTAATCTAGCTATTTATCTCCTTTTATGGTAAAGGACAGATCTTAAAATTGTGTCTTCTTTATTATCAGTTTGGCTTCATCAGACAAGAATAGGACTCAGTTTATATGATGTTGCTGGACAAGGGTACCTTCGGGAATCTGTAAGTATTTGCCTAGTTTAGTAACTACAATAGACACCAAAATTTTAACAGTAGTTATCACTGCCTGTTGGGATTACAGGTGATTATTAGTTTTTGTTTCTCTGCTTTTGTTTTTACAAATAATGTGTTACTAAAAATCTTTTAAAATGTATATTGACCACAAAAAAATATATTGACCACAAAAATTCCTTTTTGGATTTTTCCTCCAACTTTTAAAAACAGCTTTTCAAAGGAGAAAATAAAAAGAATGTAATGTTTTAACAGGATTAAAAACCATTGAACAAACAGAGGAAAACTATTGGTTACTCATAAGTGTTATAAATGTTAGGGCCAGGAATTTTTCAGGCTGACAAAGAAAGTTTGATAATGCTTAATAAGGGAATATAAAATAGGCCATGATTTCTCAAATTCTCAATTTATGGGGCCCTTAGTATCTCAGTAATTTTTGCATAGTGCCTCTAAGTCAAAAGAAATACCTAAAAGTTCCATGTTAGTTCTAAACAATTTAGTAAGTATTCATTAAGATTATTACTATATTAGCCATTTGAAGAAAAATACACGTAAGTTGAAAGTAAGTAATATTTTTGCTTCATTCTTAAATTACAAATACTAATGGAATCTGTGCCCAGGGGGCACACTGTATGGCCAGTCAAACCTGGCAGTTAGATTGAATAGTCATCCTCCCTTCCTGTTCCACACGTTTGTGTAGTACTTGCTTTGTCACAGGAACCGTCAAGAACCTAGCTTTGCAAAGATTGATGTCATCAAAAAGCATATATCTCGGGCAGCCCCGGTGGCGCAGCGGTTTAGCGCCGCCTGCAGCCCGGGGTGTGATCCTGGAGCCTCAGGATCGAGTCCCACATCGGGCTTTCTGCATGGAGCCTGCTTCTCCCTCTGCCTGTGTCTCTGCCTCTCTCTTCGCTCTCTCTGAATGAATAAATAAATAAATCTTAAAAAAAAAAAAAGCGTATATCTCCATTAGTGTTGAAAATGTGAACTACTTTGAGCTCATAGCTCTAGCTCATGGCAACATATATTGTGTACTCTCTGGCAGATGTCACTGTTTTTTAAATATCCTGCTGCACCCCTAGGAGTTTACTGAAGCATTCCTGGGGAACAATTTGGGAACTGTCGGTTTAGCCTTCACATTGCTGGTGGGAGTATAAAATGGAGGTGGCCTTTTTGGGGGAGGTGGGAAGTTTGCCAATGCCTGTCAGAATTATAAACAGGCACATTCTTTGACTTAGCAATCACTTACAAAAATTATATTCATATTCTCTCATAACATCTATGAATGAAAAATTATCATGGTGCCCTTATAGTATTATTTTTAATATTGCAAAAGATTAGAAAGAACCTAAATGTCCATCAATAGGATACTAGTTAAATGGATTATAGTACATCTAAACAGTGAAATAATACATAGCTATTTTTAAAAAAGAAGTCCTTTTTTTTTAAAGATTTATTTATTTATTTGACAGCACAAGCAGGGGGAGCGGCAGAGGAAGAAGAAGTAGGCTCCCTGTTGAGCAGGGAGCCAAATAATGGCCTCAATCCCAGAACCCTGGGATGACGACCTGAGCCACCCAGGCACCCCTTTTTTGTTCCTTTTGAATTTGGAATTATGTAAAATGTATTACTCATTCAAAAATGTTAAAATTGAAATAAAAAGCAAATTGGTAAAACATAATATTAGTTTTTACCACTAACAATAGTTAGATTTTATCATTAATATACTATTAATAACTGGATACTTTTTAGGATTGAAATCCAACATTTGAGTATCTAATGAAGAAACAAGATCAGACAGTTAACACTTTAATGTCTTGATTTGTTTTGTTCTTTCAGGACTTAGAAAACTACATACTGGAACTTATCCCTACCTTGCCACAATTAGATGGGCTGGAAAAGTCTTTTTACTCCTTTTATGTTTGTACAGCAGTTAGGAAGTTCTTCTTCTTTTTAGACCCTCTGAGAACAGGTAAAAGAAATTCTTAGATATTAAAAAGATATTATTTAAATCTCAATAACTAGAGAAAAGTCTTGAAAATGTCATTTTTCTAACACATCGTCTTTAATATGTAAAGATCTTTTATGATTTACTTGCACCAACTAGAACCAGCCATGTCACCTAACCTCTTAGTTTCTTCATCTCTAAATGTACGAACTGGATAACCAATGACTTCTTCCAGTTCTAAGCAGCCAGTTATTCTGATATGATTTGTTATCCCTGATATGTAATATACTAGAGACTTGTTCTCGATGAAAAATATGAAGGCTTAAGATGTCAATTGTGTGATTACTCTTCTAAAATAATACCTTTATAAAATTTTCCTCTTTTTTTAAAATTGTGTTTTTTCTTTAAAGGGAAGATTAAAATTCAAGATATTTTAGCATGCAGCTTCCTAGATGATTTATTGGAGGTAAGTCTGTTTTTTAAATACTTAATTATATTACTTGACAGTTACTATCTTCTAATTATATCTCTGTGTTTATTTAGTTAAGGGATGAGGAACTGTCCAAGGAGAGTCAAGAAACTAATTGGTTTTCTGCACCTTCTGCCCTAAGGGTATATGGTATGGTTCCTGTCATAATTCTAAAATTTGAATGATCCATTCCTCAGTTAATTAGTATTCAAAGGACAGTTTTATACATAAGCTAGTTTACCTTAGGATGAAAGTATTCTAATTACCTTAAGAGCTAATATTTTATTTTATTTTATTTATTATTTTATTTTATTTATTCATGAGAGACAGAGAGAGAGAGAGAGAGAGAGAGGAGAAGGGAGAAGCAGGCTCCATGCAGGGAGCCCGACATGGGACTCGATCCCGGGACTCCAGGATCACACCCTGGGCTGAAGGCGGCGCTAAACCTCTAAGCCACCAGGGCTGCCCAAGAGCTAATATTTTAGATTACTAAAATTTACTTGTCATTTTCTTACTCTTTAATAGAACATACAGAATGTAATTATCTTGCATTGTGATAAAATGCCACTGCTATCAGTGTCCACAGTGGCAGGTATTCTAAGGATTGTTTCCTTTTTCTTTTAATTTTATTAGAGTGCTACATTCTTATGTTGGGTGGCCTTCTGACTCATCTTGGCATACTTCATCTCTCAAGAGCCAGCATTTCAGTGCTTTTTATTGACTCCTGTTTAATTTTGAAACCTAGGAAAGTACTAAAAGGTTGCAAACTGAAAACAAATAATGATGGAAATAGCCCCAAAGGTCATGGCTTTATGCAAAGCTTAAGGGGTGTTGTGATAGTACAGGGATAACTGATCTTAGGGCACTACCCTAATATAGTTTGAAAACCAAAGTATTAACCAATAAAAAGAACTTTTTGTATTTATTCTAATTTGTCCTCTAATTAGAATTTTATTTTGGTCATAAGTATCTTTTTACCATTTTTCTTCCCAAGGCCAGTATTTGAATCTCGATAAGGATCACAATGGTATGCTCAGTAAAGAAGAACTCTCCCGCTATGGAACAGCAACCATGACCAACGTCTTCTTAGATCGCGTTTTCCAGGAGTGTCTCACTTATGATGGAGAAATGGTAGTAGTTTAAATCTCTGATAAGTTTTAAAAATTTAGGCTCCCACAGTTTCCACAATCCTTTTTCTTGATGTGATTTTATACCAGTATCTTTTTTATATCAGCGTTTTTTTATACCAGTATCTTTAAAAGCCTGAACTAATCAAATTGTGAGTTTTGGAGTCCTTGATCTTAAGGTAAATTTACTTAAAAACATAGTCTCAGGACAAATATAAAATTTTTATATTTTGTTCATTTCATTATCAGTGTATCTCTTTTTTTAATGTTTCAAGTTTTATTTAAATTCCAGTTAGTTAACATATAGTATAATATTAGTTTCAGGTACAGAACTTAGTGATTCATCACTTAATACAACTGTAACCCAGGGCTCATCCCAACAAGTACTCTTCTTAATGCCCATCACTCATTTAGCCCATCTCCCCTGCCCACCTCCTCTAAGAAGTATGGATGGGGAGGGGGGTGAAATCTGAAGTTGGCAAATCCTCGACTGTTTTCAGGATAGGTACACTATCTGACCACAGATGCTGTGATTTAAATCTAAGAATCAGGTTGTATTACTTTCTGAAAGTGGGTATATTAGCAGCTGCTGATTAACATGCACCTGTCCTTTTATCACAACAATGCTACTATAGATAAGGAAATTCTAAATAGCATTTTAAAATCACCATCCTTGTTATTAAAAACGTGTTAAAGATGTGATAAATAAGGCAGCCTGGGTGGCTCAGCAGTTTAGCTCCACCTTCAGCCCAGGGCCTGATCTTAGGAGATCAAGTTCCGAGTCAGGCTCCCTGCATGGAGCCTGCTTCCCCTCTGATTGTCTCTACCTCTACCTCTCTCTCTCTCTCTCTCATGAATAAATAAAATATTAAAAAAAAAGATGTGATAAATTGCCAAAACAGTGATATGTAAGAAATGGTCATATTGTCAGAAAAGAATTGGGGTTTTATGTTTATCACTTGGTTTGAACAGCCATTTTCTAAAGAACACCATTTTTAGCCAGAAGTATAGGAAAAGAGGGAACAGGTGCAGAAATTCTGCTTTGTGACTCCTATAGCTGTCTATAGTCGACAATGAGGAACTTGTAGTATGCTAATGACTTCTGGCGAATACAGTCACAACTGTACAGCTACAACTTTGGATGGACCTAGACCATGATGAGCCTTTATCTCTTTAGCTCTTTATACTGCAATTTATGCAAAAAGGAATTCTTAATGTTAGCCTAAAAAAAATACAAGAATATAAAATTTTTTCTTAGTGGAATCTCCAGTGTTCTTTTCACTATGCAAAAAAAAGTCATCTGAGTATCCCTTTTTTGTAGAGAAAACTTGCTATTCTCTTCATGTCTTTCTAGCTTTCATTTGTGTTTTGCCTTTTTTGGGTGAGAAAAGTTTCAGTTCACTGTAGAGTATTGGGTAGTCTTAAGATGGCTTCTTACTGGAAATCATCTGATTTTAAAATGTTTAAATAAATTTCAAAATAACTAAATATTCTCTTCATTCCAGATGAACTTTTTTTCCCCAAAACTGACCACACTGAAATGAAGATACTAATTTAGTGGCATTATATAATAGCTTAGTCACTGTCTTGTCCATTTCAAAGGCATAATAAAATTAAGTTACTCCTTAAGACAGCAACTCTCTCATAAGAAAATGTATCCCCAGAACTGTCCTGTATAGATTAACTGCTATGTAGAATTTTTAGAAACAAATATTAAGTATACAAATGGATATCTCATTTCATATTTTAAAAATTGCCATCTTTGATTGTAATACAGCTTCAAATCATTATTCACTTGAAAAGTTAATTCCAAAGAAGGCTATTCTTTTCTTTATAGGATTATAAGACCTACCTGGACTTTGTTCTTGCGTTAGAAAATCGAAAAGAACCTGCAGCTCTGCAGTATATTTTCAAATTACTTGATATTGAGAACAAAGGATATCTGAATGTCTTTTCACTTAATTACTTCTTTAGGGTAAGTCTCATTTCTGTAAATGAGTCATTGTTCCTTGAGATATCTTACATTTTTTATTTAAATTATCTACTTAGTAGCAATTTTATCTAACTTGTGATGTTTAAATTTAATAAAAAGGTTTAGTAACAGGTTTTATTATTAATATATTTTTTTAAGTAGGCTCCATGCATGCTCAGCATGGAGTCCAACATGGGGCTTGAACTCCTAACCCTGAGATTGAGACCTGAGCTGAAATCGAGAGTCGGACACTTAATTAACTGACTAAGCCCCATAGGCACCCCAATTTACTAGCAGATTTTAGAAGAAAATCAAATCTTTTTTTTTTTCTATTTTAAAAAAATATAAATAGACTAAAAGTTGATTTGATTAGTTGTAGAACACAAAAGTGTAAAATATGTGTCGGGCTATACTGGCCATTGGAGACTGAGACATACATGAGAAAGTCTGTGCTTTTGTGATCAAAACTAGTATGTAAAATCCTTCAGAAGCTTCAATTAAACAGTTCAGAAAAGGTAGAGGTTTTGCAGACTTTGGTAGTACTATTAAACGCTGTGCTACAAAATAAAAATTACTTATTGTAATAATTTTAAAATTATTGCATGCTGCATTTCAGCATGAAAACAGATTTGCTAAAGTGCTTATTTTGTGAATAACATGATGAGTCTTGAAGGAAATTTTACTGTATCTTATCTGATAAACATTCAGATACACAAAGTATAAAAGTAGGAATGTCTGCCCTTTTAAGATAAATCATTTCCTAAATCTGGTGACTTTTCTATTTGGTGGCATAGTTTTATACAGTAGTATTTCACTCTCTCATCTTATTTCTATAGCTAATTTTTATAAGACTGTGATTTTTAAATGGTTAACACAACAGTAGGGAGAAATGGCTTTTTTTAAACAATAAAAATGACATTTTCACATCTTTGTCATGAAACATTTTTCCCCAGAGGCTTTTCCTTTTCCGTTTAAAAATCTGGGATGCTTTAGGGGTGCCTGAGTGATTCAGTTGGTTAAGCATCTACCTACAGCTCAAGTCATGATCTCAGGGTCCTGGCATTGAGCCCCACATTGGGCTCTCCCTGCTCAGTGGAGAGCCTGCTCCTCCTCTCCCTCTGCTCTTCCCCTGCTTGTGCTCTCTGGCTAGCACGCACGTACTCTCTCTTTCTGTTAAATAAATAAATAAAACCTTAAAAATTTTTAAAAATTAAAATTTGGGATACTTTAAAAATAACTATTTGGTTTCTGTGTTTCATAGTATATAAAATTAATAGTCTCATGTTAAATTCCATAAGCTTCCAAAATGATTTCCTAGGTAGTAATGACTACAAACATTAGGATAAATTACAATCACAGTATTAGGATACATTTTTTAAAAATTCAATCGGTGGCCAGTCTGAGAATACCAACTCATCATATGGATGTCCCAACTTTAGGCAGACCTATTAAATGAAAATTCAGTTTTAGAAAAACAAATATATTTTGGAAATTACTCAATCCTCTCACATCAGGATTTCTTTACAGTATCTTAGAATATTAAATTTTGTTTTCAAAATATTTTATACATGAATTTTATCAAAGTATTTAGGCTTGATTGTATGGATTAAGGTAAGGACTTATTGGTGCTGAGTCCTGCAGTCGTAAGCTGTTCATAGAATGTTTGTACATCAGTATCCCAGTGATAAAGGCTGGCCCAGCTCATGCACTCTAGATCCTATCTCTAGATCTACTACACTAGTAGCTGTGAGTATATACTCAGATTCTCACTCACTTCAAAGAGATTCCCTATGCACACAGTGATATTAGTGGCACCACATACAGAGTAGCTGCATCTGCAACATATTTGACTATTTACCAAGAATTTTAAGCTTCACATTTTCTAGTGAATGACTCTTGCCTAAAATACTTATTAGTCCAACTGGATCACAGTAGTTTCTTCTGTTAGTGGGTTGTTTGGTGGGGGGGGGTGTCGTGTTTTGTTGTTGTTGTTGTTTTTGTTAAAGGCTATATAAAAGAGAATCTGAGGGAGGCTTACCTCCACTTCTTTTTCTGTCAACTACAAGGCTAAGTATAGGGTGGGAGGCAGAGGTGGCAGATTGGGTATCTTAAAGAATGGTGAAGGTATGAACAACATTCCTGGAAAATGCAAGAATTGGGCATAACAAAATAATTGCTAGGCCATGTAAAGACCCATCTGGGGTTGGAGACCATTCCTATATAGTAGCAATAATCTGCGGTCTTATATACTTTTTTCTGGAATTCTTAATAGCAAGATAAAGATCTAGAAAGGTTGATGGTCACACTGATTATTGTTTAAGTTTTGCTAACTGGATGTGAAGCAAGGTCAAGGAAGCTGGGAACATTAGCAAGAGTGGTCAAAGTGATAAGGCTTGTGGTCTGATAGGAAAGGAAGTGGGACTAGAAAGGGGACATGGGACAGGAAGGGGGCTGTGTTCTATTTTTTCATTTACAGACTTATTTCTACCCATACAGGCCATACAGGAACTAATGAAAATCCATGGACAAGATCCTGTTTCATTTCAAGATGTCAAGGTTATCTTTTCTTTTAAGTATTAAGCTCTACACCCAGTGTGGGGCTTTTGGACTCTCCCGATACTAAGATCAGGCACCGCATGCTCTACCGACTGAGTCAACCAGGCACCCCCTACCTTTTCTTACATAATACCTACCAGTTTGGGCACCAGTTGATTTATGGCTCAGGTCATGATCTTGGGGTCCTGGGATTGAGCCCGCATAAGGCTCTATCTGCTACCCCCTTCACTCTCATGTGCGCACGCACACACACACACACACACACTCTAAATAAATCTTTTAAAAAATAACATACACATACCATAGAATCATGTATATTAAATGAAATTTTGTAAGAAAGAAACCTAGAATATGAAGTACTGAATCAAATCAAGTATTTGCTGTTACTTGTTCTGAATCTGTATTCAAATCATTAGAAACGCAGACCACACTTGGACTAATGATTTGTATAGTTTATAATTTTAGCATTGTCAGACTATTTTTCATTGGAAGCAGTCATTCATTTTGATTGAAAATGAAGAGAATCAGTAGAGCCTGCATCCTTTGGCAGCCTATTCCAGTGTAAAATTCATTTTTATCTTGGTAACTACACTTGACCCTTAAAACAACATGAGAATTAGGGGCAACCACCACCCACATGCTGTTGAAAATCCATGTAGAACTCCCCAAAAACTAGTTACTCATAGCTTGCTGTTGACAGGAAGCCTCAAATAAACAGTAACATAGTTAACAACACATTTTATATATGTTTTATATAGTATATTCTTAAAAATACAGTTTGAGAAAGAAAATTATAAGGAAAAGAAAATGCATTTACAGTATACTGTATTTATCAAAAATATCCATGTTTTATTGGACCCATGCATTTCAGACCTGTGTTTGCAAGGGTCAGCGGTATTTAGGTTTGGGTACTTTTTAAATTTACTTTAAAGGTCTTGCTCGCTTGCTATTATTAAGGAGATACCAATCCTACAATATGAAAACTACCACTATTTGAAACACATGCTAATACTTCATTTTAATAGACTTCTAGCTGTGAAAAACATACAGTATCCAGTACAAATTTAGGTTAAATAATGTAATAAAATAACCCATCTAATTTTAATTAAGTGTAAGATAAAGGGCTGTTATGGTTTAATATAAATGAGACAAATCTAAAGCTATGCAATAGGCAACCTAAGAACTAGTAATTTTAGGGATCCCTGGGTGGCGCAGTGATTTGGCGCCTGCCTTTGGCCCAGGGCACGATCCTGGAGACCCAGGATCGAGTCCCACGTCGGGCTCCCGGTGCATGGAGCCTGCTTCTCCCTCTGCCTGTGTCTCTGCCTCTCTCTCTCTCTCTCTGTATGACTATCGTAAATAAATTAAAAAAAAAAAAAAGAACTAGTAATTTTAAATTGCCTCTAAGCTTGAAAAGGAAGTTTCATAAACATACAAGACTAAAAGCTTGTACCTTTAATTTACCTGAATTGTTTTAATCTTTTTTTTTTTTTAAAGATTTTACTTATTTTCGAGAGAAAGTGCACAAACGGGAAGGGAGAGTGACAAGCAGACTCTGTGCTCAGTGCAGAGCTTGGTCTTATGACACTTACTTAGACCATGACCTGAGCCGAAATCAAGAGTCAGATGCCCAACTGACTAAGCCACCCAGGTACCCCAAATTGTTCTTTTTAAAATATAATTTGCCTCCTTAAATGCTACTAAATCCTGAGTAATTTTACTACAAAAAGATTAGAAAACATATACCGAATTCCTTATAAATACTCCTACAGTATACCTCAAAGTAGAGAAGTTTTTCCATCTGTTCCAGTAAATTTTAGCATAATTTCATGGTCATTCTGGATGATTAATTCTTTAAAACTGAACCTCCCCCACCAACCACCCTTTTTAGATCCAGAGTATAAAAGGTTGACATCTATATTGGAAATGAAGCTTTGTCACTGTCTTGGCTTTGGAAGCTGAGTTTGCACTTAAAGCAAGACCTTACTTTACCACCAATTAGAAGACAATAAAAAAGTTTTAAGATACTTAACACATATTCAAAGAACAGTGCATTAGTTTTGCCACTAATTAGCTATGCTAGCTTAAACTCTGAACCTCAGTTTTTTTTTTTAATTTTTTTTTTATTGGAGTTCAATTTTCCAACATATAGCATAACACCCAGTGCTCATCCCATCAAGTGCCCCCCTCAGTGCCCAGTCATTCTGTCTCCCTTTCTGATATTTCCCACTCATTTTTTCTCCTTTCCCCTTTATTCCCTTTCACTATTTTTTATATTCCCCAAATGAATGAGACCATATGTTTGTCCTTCTCTGATTGACTTACTTCACTCAGCATAATACCCTCCAGTTCCATCCACATTGAAGCAAATGATGGGTATTTGTCGTTTCTAATGGCTGAGTAATATTCCATTGTATACATAGACCACATCTTCCTTATCCATTCATCTTTCGATGGACACCAAGGCTCCTTCCACAGTTTGGCTACTGTGGACATTGCTGCTATAAACATCGGGGTGCAGGTGTCCCAGCGTTTCACTGCATCTGTATCTTTGGGGTAAATCCCCAGCAGTGCAATTGCTGGGTCATAGGGCAGGTCTATTTTTAACTCTTTGAGGAACCTCCACACAGTTTTCCAGAGTGGCTGTACCAGTTCACATTCCCACCAACAGTGCAAGAGGGTTCTCCCTTTATCCACATCCTCTCCAACATTTGTTGTTTCCTGCCTTGTTAATTTTCCCCATTCTCACTGGTGTGAGGTGGTATCTCATTGTGGTTTTGATTTGTATTTCCCTGATGGCCATGATGCAGAGCATTTTCTCGTGTACTTGTTGGCCATGTCTATGTCTTCCTCTGTGAGATTTCTGTTCATGTCTTTTGCCCATTTCATGATTGGATTGTTGGTTTCTTTGCCGTTGAGTTTAATAAGTTCTTTATAGATCTTGGATACTAGCCCTTTATCTGACAGGTCATTTGCAAATATCTTCTCCCATTCTGTAGGTTGTCTTTCAGTTTTGTTGACTGTTTCTTTTGCTGTGCAAAAGCTTCTTATCTTGAAGTCCCAAAAGTTCATTGTTTCTTTTTTTAGATGAGGGATAGCTATTACATACCTAAGGAATCCTCCAATAAAATTGTGATTGTACATAGAGAAAAGGAGACTGCCTGTGTATGAATTAGCAGGAAAAAAAAAAAAAAAACTACAAAAAAAATTTTACATAAAGTGCCAGCATTGAATTTCACATTACTATATGGTAGAAATTTAGTGGGTCAGATACCAGATTTTTTTTTTTTTTTAAGATTTTATTTATTTATTCATGAGAAACACACACAGAGAGAGAGGCAGAGTCGCAGGCAGAGGGAGAAGCAGGCTCCATGCAAGAAGCCTGATGTGGGGCTCGATCCCGGGTCCCTAGGATCAGGCCCTGGGCTGAAGGCGGCACTAAACCGCTGAGCCACCTGGGCTGCCTGATAACAGATTTCATTGTGTTTTTTTTTCTCTCTCTCGCAGGATGAAATCTTTGACATGGTTAAACCAAAGGATCCTTTGAAAATCTCTCTTCAGGATTTAATCAACAGTAATCAAGGAGACACAGTCACCACCATTCTAATTGATCTGAATGGCTTCTGGACTTATGAGAACAGAGAAGCTCTTGTTGCAAATGACAATGAAAACTCTATAGACCTTGATGATACATGATCTCTCAAAGACTAGACTGTTCATTAAGATAAGCTTGAATGTTCCACGTAAAACCTTTTAAGCACAATTCTTAGAAACAGCTTAAATAAAACACTCCATATGCCTATAGAACACAGCAAATGTTCTGGTTATTGGAATCTTGCTTGTGGTAGTTTGGAAGCAATAGGACCAAATATTGTTTTAGGAGGTAATAAATTCTTGGTCCATTTAGCTCAAATATGGCAAAAAGGTAGAATCCATTCAAATGTGTATAATCTTTAGAAATAAAGGAAGTTTTCATGGGATATTTCTGACATTAGACATTAAGAATTTAAATACTTGATATAATACTTTAATACTTGATATAAATACTTTATATGTGGTCATTTACCCTTGAGTCTTCTAAAGTATTATCTGTATCATAGATTATAAACTTCCCATTCGTTAGAATAAAGCCACTTCTGGATTAGATGTGTTTAAAGATGATATTTCTTTTTGGAGGATGTTTCAATAAAAATATTCAAGTTAATATTTTACATTAAAATCACTGGTACCAAAAAAAAAATCTGTCTAGCTTTTTAACCAGTACCAGTGTTACATTTTTTTCAAATTTATTTTATTTTATTTTTTTAGGGTTACATTTTATAAGACTCAACTCCAGTTTAAGGAATTTTGTTAGACTTTGTGTTAATTCAGTGTAAAGGTTCTCAATTATACTCTTCTGTTTCATTTTTTTTTATGAGAAAAAAGATCAGAAGAGGGTAAAATATGAACAGTGATCCAGAGGGAATAGTAATTACAAAAAGGGTCGAAAAGGAAGGAAAAGTAAAAGAGGCTTAAAAATAAGACAAAACCATTTAATTCATTTCTGGGAAATTTTATAATTTGCATAAATAAAGTATAAAAATTTAAGGCACAGTGAATAACTATATAAACATTACAAACTGGCCACTGTTGGACAATTAAAGGAAGTAAAATTTAAGAAACAAAATTTTCATAATCTTCCTTCTACTATAATCAGAAAAGTTTCTAGGTAAACTTTCAGATCTAGGGAGAAAGGATTCAGATCTTTAGATATGCATGCCTTCACTGGATAACCCAATAAATATCTGAGTTGGAAGTCCTATCTCAAGTTAAAAACAAATTAGAGGGAAGAGGTCAGGTTAGCATGTTTTAAACTATAATTTATGGTGACATTAATTACATAATCTGAAGATTAATCCCTTAAAAGTACTAAAGAGTTTATAGCCATGACCAAAAAATTACCATCACATACCATGAACTACTGTACCACAAATCCATGTAACTGAAGATTGCAAATGAAAAATTATGTTTCCTAAATCCTTCAGATTTCAGTTGAAGAACTTAGCCAGATGTTCATGTTCACTGATAATAGATTTCATAATAGGTCCACTGTACCTATAAGTTTCTTTGAAGCCATATTTTATATAAAAATATTTAAGACTGACAGCTTAATGTTGTTTAGAACAACCTTTAATCTCTGAAAGCTCTAAATCTGTGATTAGGCTTTTAAGAGCAGCATTTCTGAAATATTTCATACATTCTTCCTTACCCACATTTAGTTATAAATTAAAGTCATAAGTCATACAGATCTCTCAAGATTATAATAAGCATATATTTAGGAATATTTTCAAAGTTAGTTTCATATTATACTTTTGTAAGCTTTGCTCATAGCACAGTGGGCTCTAGAGGCCAAACCTGGGTTAAGTAAACTGTCCTGTTAAGTACTGTTGCTACTTCAAAGAAGGGAATGACTGGAAACTTCACTATGCTACCCTGGGCCTTGTACAGTATTCAATAGTATGCCCCTGAAGGATCAAATCTTCATCTGTCCCTCACCCCACCCACCTCCCTCCCAACTGCTGACCCACAAGAAGTGTTCAAGTTCCACTGAGTGACAAAATCAGGATGCCATGTGGATAATCACTAGGTATTACCACTTGAATACAAATACATTAATAAATACATCCTATAACTAGTGTTTTTAACATGTTCAAAGCTAGTTATTTAATTTGCATAACTGCTGGAAAAAAAAAAGGGTAAGAAACCTGCATTAAAAAATGGAACCCCCCCCCAAAAATAAAGAATTGGTGTTATTATAAACTCAATTACCTTTTCATGAAATATTTTCAAGGAAAGAAAAATCAAAGTGCTTTTATCTTGCTCCTTTTATTATACACTCAGTGAACCATCCTTAGTATGAAATTAATGGTTAGATATATAAATGTAAGACAACATGAGAAATCTGGGGGGGGGGGAATCCTCATTTTAATCTGAAACTAGGAAAATCAGCTCCAATTAGTCTTAATCAGTAATTTTAACTATTTTTTTCTTACAAACACAACAGACAAGCTTGATAATTTAACTCTTATTTTTGGCAATTAGGGCTCTACAATGTCCTTAGTTTTTTTAAAGAACATTCTAAAACCAAAGCACTAATTTGATACACAGTAAAAGCATAGTACAAATAATCAAATTTCAGATCTGGCTTTTGCTAGATAGAGCCTAAGAATGAAGAAACATTTTTGCCTTTCCAGATAACTTAATAATTTAAAATATAAATAACTGTATTAAGTCCCACTGAATAAAGAATGTGAAAGTTCCTGGTATTACAAAAACCCTAGAATTTGAAGTTTGATAGTCATTCTACGGTGGGACAGAGACTGGGTTTTGTTTGCTTTCCATAATTACTTCACAGTCTCCCTCCATTTCAAAATTGAGATTCACAAATGAACTGGATACCATTGTTTCTGGTTGATCTGTCTGGACAATGGGATCAGCCTGCAGTTTATTCTGCTTATATTGTCTTTCTGCTTCCTCAGGCATCCTGTTTTCCTCTTCTTCTTCTTCTTCCTAAAATAATCAAGAATAGTTGAAATATAAATGCCCAAAAGGAACAGTATCTGTTCCCCACTTCAACTGCTTGTGCCTTTTTTTTCTAAACTAAAACATCAGTGTCACGTCCAATTCAGTTGGTCTAATTAAGACAAGACATACATCCCCACCCTGTTCCCAAACTGAAATGGAAACTATGACATATTAAGGAAAGTTATTTTTAAAGCATGGTACAGTACTACTTAGATGGGTCCTGAATTAACTTTGACAAAGGCTGTAGCTTTTCAGATTAATTCTAATCTAAAAAAAAATAGCTAAATACTATATCACTTCAATTATAGAGTATCAGCCTATTCAGTGGAATAGGGTGGTCTATTCACTAACTGATATAGTTAATGTTCCCCTAAGCAGCTAGTATATAGGTAAGGCAGTTGCTGCCCTCGAGTTTACAACCTAGGAGGGAAGTTATAACACCTAAAAAAGAATATGAAGACAGAAAGGAATAAGTACTAGAGACTTAGAATAAATAATTTCTAGTTCCAGGGAAGCCTGGGTGACTCAGAGGTTGAGTGTCTGCCTTCAACTCAGGGTGTGATCCAAGGGTCTGGGATCAAGTCCCGCATCAGGCTCCCTGCAAGGAGCCTGCTTCTCCCTCTATGTCTCTGCTTCTCTCTCTCTCTCTCTCTCTCTCTCTCTCATAAATAAATAAAAATATTTTTTAAAAAATTTCTAGTTCCAGAACTACTAAATTCATGGAGGAAATGGCAACTGTATTGGTCGATGCAGTCTGAGTAGTTAGAGAGTAAGTAACCTGTCAAGAAGATTAATTTAGAGCTTGCTTGAGAGAAAACAAGAAAGACATTTAGGAGCCTGTTACAATAGTCCAAATGAGGTAATGAGGCTCTAAACAAGGCTGGTAGTGTTAAAAAGCACTCATTTGCTCATAAAACATTTTTGAAACCATATAACAAATACAAAGTCAGCTGCCTTTTCCAGATTCACATCAGCCACTCCCCAGTTGCACTCCACTCCAGTGACAAAGTACCACTCCTACCACTTTTCCAAATATGCAACTTATCCTCAAGCCTCTACATTTTAGCTAAGGTAGCTAAATGTAGTTTTAGCTACATTTGCTTGAAGGAGAATAATAAGAGATGCTAATATTTATTTCATGTTCACCAATATACATTGGGTACTTTCTAAACATTTTATATATCAACTCATTTAATCCTTAGAGCAACCCTGAAAATGGATGCCACACTTTTCCTCATTATAAAGATGAAGGTTAAGTATCTTGCCCAATGATTACAAAATTAGAAGTGGTAGAGTCAAAATTTGAATTCAGACCTTTTGGTTCTTCAGCCTATGCCCTTAAGAGCTAAACTTTTCTCACTCTTTAAGGCTAAATTCATTTCACCCCCACCCTAAGCCCTCATTACATTTGCAGACAAAATTGCCTCACCAATTTGTGCCTTACCAGCTGGCCCTCTTACACATTTCTAGTACTCATAATTCTCTGTGCATCAAACCCTCCACTTCTCATATATCTAGTCTACGTGTTCTAAGTAGAGACTGTCCTATTTCCTCATCTGAAAATTGGAATAATAATTCAAAGAGAGATGTATGAAGATTTAAATAAGATAACATGTATACAGCACCTTCCATAACACCTAGCACAATGAAATCTAGCTTAGTTTCACACAAAGATCCTAGGGAAATTTCAGTGTTAAAAAATAAATATATAAATTAAAACATCTAACTTGATAAATAAATAACTCTAGAATGAAATGCCTACCCTAAGGGAGCTCTCTTTTGGGCAGCTAGAGAGCATGTATATACATATATGCTCATTGCACAACCCACGAAGTCCCCAGTAAACCTAACTGAATAAAAAAATGTAAAAAGGAGACATACCTCCTTCTTCATCCGGTAATACTCATCAATGGCATATTGGTATTTTGGGGTGCTAATGCCCAAAACAGATGCAATCTTCTCTCCAAGAAAGTCACACACTAAAGATACAAAAGTTAAATGCCTTATACAATTCCATAAACATTTCTTGAGCACTTTCTATGTGCAAGGCACTGCAAGAATAGAAAAGTTGCAGTCCCTGCCCTCAGAGAGATTATGAACATTCAATACATCTCTTCTGTATGTTTTCCTTGATATCCTCAAGAGGCACTAGGGGTTCCTTCTGGGTTCCCTAACAATACTCTGTTCATACCTCTAATTATACATGTATCACCGTGTATTATAATTATCTATTAATACCTATTTTTTTCAAGAAAAACATATACTCTTAGAGGTCATCAATGGGCTATAGGGAAGGGAATGGCTTGTACTATAACATTCACTAAGTGCTGGCCACATGCCAGGCACTGTGAAAGGTTAGATTCATTCAGAGAGGCTGACAAAGCAGATCCACAATGTAATCCAGGTCTGAATGTAAAGCTCATGTTCTCTTCATTACACCACACTATCTAGTAATATTGAGTGCTTGGTAAATGTGTCTTGAATGAATTATTATTCAAAATTACCTCTACTAAAGAGCAGAAAATGCTAGAAGCTATCAGGGAGTTTAAATTGGAAACAGAGGAAAGCCTTATAATTTAAAATCTATATTTAAAGTTAGCATGAGTAAGTCATAAGTTGATAATTCATTTCCTTCAAATATGACTTAGTTACAGATCAACTTAAGATATGAAATATTAATAAAATTAAAATATAAATGAATTACATAACTACAGGCTCTAGAATAAATAGTCAAACAGAAAAAGAACAGTATCAGTAGGGAAACCACCCAACAAAATAGCTAATAGAAAAGGTTCAAAAACATAAAAATTAGGGGCAGCCCCGGTGGCGCAGCGGTTTAGCGCCGCCTGCAGCCCAGGGCGTGATCCTGGAGACCATGGATCCAGTCCCATGTCAGGCTCTCTGCATGGAGCCTGCTTCTCCCTCTGCCTGTGTCTCTGCTTCTCTCTCTGTGTGTGTGTCTCTCTATGAATAAATAAAAATCTTAAAAAAAAAGGTTCAAAAACATAAAAATTAATATAAAATAAATTAATAAAGCCATTTCTCAGTTCTTAAACCCCACAACTTGAAGCTGAAGAATGTTTTAAAGTTAGATTAACATCTTCCAATGCTAGAGAACAGAGTGACTAACTCCTTATTGTTTCTCCTTCACTTTGGAAACACTCCATTTGGCAAAGTTCCTGTTCTTAGAGCATATTATAATAGTCATGCAATATTCAAACAGAAAAGTCATACCTGAAAGGGTTGATGTGGCAGCTCGAAGCATATAAAACCATAAGTAGGGGCCCCAGGTAAGTTTTGTCTGCAACGAGAAGTCAGGTTAGGAACATTCATACCTAAACTCATTCTATGTGCTTAGGCCAGAATGAAGTAGTTCAAATATTTGGCTGGCACATAGAATATTCCATAGATAATACTATATACTACAATCCAAATAAGAATGTAAGAACTCGATATAAAATATTCCATAAATATATTTTATATTTGCCCACATAACTACCACCACCTTATTCCCGTGGAATAACCAAGGAAAGCAGCCACCATTAAAATGGAGTTAGTAAGTCATAATCTTGATTATTTATGGGAACTGACAATCTAGGATCTCTTCTCTGGTCTTGCTTTTCTGTCTTCATTGTTCATAAGCACAATATCAGAATATGCAGTAAATAGAAAGGGACCTTAAGATATCATATAGTACAGGGGTGCTGGGTGGCTCAGTTGGTTAAGCATCTGCCTTTGGCTCAGGTCATGGTTTTGGGGTCCTGGGATCGAGCCCCGAGTCAAGCTTCCTGCTCATGGGGTAATATGCTTCTCCCTTTCCCTCTAAACCTATTCTCTACTTGTGCATGTTCTCTCCCTGTCTCAAATAAATAAGATCTTAGAAAAAAACAAATCATACAGTACAATATACTTATGGTATAGTAAGGAAATTGAGGTTCAGAGAAAGTAAGCAGGATTAAGTAAGAGCCCATAAAATGAACTTTCAATAATGGGAAAATAAGTAGCCAATAAGTTGCAAGGTGAGTTCTTTGTTTAAGAATTAAAAAGGGCCTAGACTGTATAACCCAAGACAAGCTCAGTGTATATATAGTAAAGCAAGACCAATGGCAGAAGGCAATCTATGATGCACAACTCCACTGTTAATCTTGGTCCTGTAATTCCCATAGAATACTTCTGTGAAGCTTGCACACAGATGACAGTTTGTTTCTGTGGATGAAATCAGTAATATAAGCATGCTCCATCAGTTAAATGACAATTATTATTAATAGTATTATTATCTTAATATTGCTTTCAGGAAGGAGAAAAACAATCAGATTACATAATCTTCTTAGCTTACATATTATGTTCATGATTATAGGGTATTAAAACAGCAAACACAAGACTATCTATAAGCCTGGGTAGATGGGCTAAAGAGAAAAGGGAGTAACACATAAAATTCTTCCCATGAAAAGTAAGGATGCGAATTTCTGTGATCATATTCTTGAAAAGACAGAAGTCAGTTAGCTCCTTAATCTCTATTTACACAAGAATGAGTGTCCAAGCAAACAAATACATTCAACTAAGAAAATCCTGTATATTTATGACTCCTTCAATCAAACCTACTATATCTTCTATATTCAGAGCTGGAAGTATGTATCTTATGTGGTGATAAGAGTTATTTTAGGGATTCCATTTAAGATACTCTCATCTTACTGAGATGATGTTTACCTTATAGTTTAACAGCAAATGGGACAGTGCAGTAATATACGGAATGGAACCAGTTTCTGTAACACATGATAATGACAGGGCCAAGAAATTACTTATAAAAGGACTAAACAGGCCTTTTAAGGGAGAGCATATATTTCTCAGTGGACCAATTCTCCTGGGTTTGTTTCTAGACAGAACAATTGCTAATATCCATGCAGTGACTACTAACAAATCAAACCTGCTTCAGAACTGAGTAACTGGATAAAGATCCCTGAATAACAATCATTATCACACACAATTACACAGAATGAATGTAATGTATAGGGCTCATTGTTTAGACACTGTTCTTACTGAATCAAAAGGACAGATGACTCAAGAGTCTACATTGGAACCTTGCCACTACTGTGGCAAACCCTATCACTATTACCACCAACACTCCAATAATAAGAGAGATGGACTAGATCTTGGTCTTTAAGACTTCCAGTTTATGGTGCAAACTCAAGCTGATTCATTTTTTTCCTCCAAAAATTTAAGTATCAATCTCTTCCTGAATAATTAAGTACCCACCTCTTCCTTAATAAGAGCTATTCAGACTTGCTATCTTTTTTGTTTTTAAATAACTTACTTTTAGACCATAAAAGTATTGCTTTTTTGTAGAACACTTAGAAAACTGAGCAAAGTATAAGGAAAATCTAAGTCACCCATTTTCCACCACCTTGATATAATTATCACTAACATTTTAGTATATTTTCCCAGTCTTTTCCTGAGCATGTATGTTTTTACAACATTGTTGTACTTTCTCTATCCTGCTGTTTTTACCATTTACAATATTGGTATTTACCCAAAAGAAATTAGGATCTCAAAGAGATATTTCCTCTCCCATCTTCACTGTAGCATTATTCACAATAGCCAGGATGTAGAAACAACCTAAATGTCCATTGATGAATGAATGCATGAAGAAAATGTGGCATATATATATATATATATATATATGTATAAAATGGAAAATTCAGTCTTAGAAAAAGGAATCCTACTGTAGGCAACAACGTAGATGAACCTTGAGGATATTATGCTAATAAAATAAGCCAGTTAAAGAAAGACAAATACTGCACAACAGAACATCAATCAGTATTTCTGATCCTGGCCACAAGCCACCTATCACTGAGACTAAGTTTCATGTGAGTGCAGTTGACAGTTGGGAGCTTCCTTCTTCCTCAGCCTCCATTTATGTAATGGAGGCTCTACCAGGGGCATGGTGCCACTGAGGATACTGGGGCAGTTCACTGAGGCAGTGAAAAAAGTCAAAAAGATCTAAGGCTACTGCTCCCCACCTCCACCAAGTACTCAGCACCTAAAGTTGGGCTGTTGCGCAGGAACACAACACTGTTCCCATTCTTAACTTCAGATCTCTAAGAGATTTTGTCCAGGAGGAAAAGTAAGCCACAAAACAGCTCCTAATCTCTTCCCAAATGAACTGACTTCATTTGCAACAGACCTGGAAAAATCCAAGCCCAAAGGGTGCTCTCAAAATCAGTGGAGACTGTGGTGAAAGGTAATTGAGAGGAAGTTCTTAGATTCTATGAAGATGCAGGCTAAACTATAGGATAGCTAGTTTGTAGCAAAGAACAGGAGGTGGGGAGGAGACAGACTATACTAAAATAATACAGCTGTCACTAAACAAAAAAGCAAATAACAAGATGGGGGGCGGGGAGAGAAGGCAAGGGTAATACCCAGAGTTGCAATATAGTGTCTAAAATCCACAAAAAAATTAAGAGATATACAAAGAAACAGAAGTATGTTCTACACACAGGAAGAAAAGCAGGCAACAGAAACTACCCATGAGTGACTAGATGTTGGATTTAACAGAAGAAACCTCAAAGTAACTTTTATAAGTATGTTCAAAGAACTAAGGAAACCATAATTAAGAAATAAAGGAAGGTATAACAACGTTTCATTGAACAGAGAATACCAAAAGAGATAAAAATTATTAGGAGAGGGATGCCTGGGTGGGTCAATCAGTTAAGCATCTGACTCTTGATTTCAGCTCAGTTCCTGAGATGGAGCCCCACATTGTTGGGCTCCACACTCAGTGAGGAGTCTGTTTCTCTCGCTCTCCCTCTCCCCCTAAAATAAATAAGTAAATCTTTAAAAAAAAGTATTAAAAAGAACCAAATGGAAATTCTCAAGTTGAAAAGTGCAATAACCGAAATGAAAAATTCAGGAGAGGCTCAGCTGAACAAAAACTGACAGAAATGAAGAGACCACTCAATAATAGCTGGAGACTTTGATACCC